TATTAGCACTAGTACGTGTAGTAGTAGTGGTAGTAGTAGTAGTAGCACTAGTAGGTGTAGTAGTAGGAGTAGTAGTAGCACTAGTAGTAGTAGGTGTAGTAGTAGTAGTAGTAGCACTAGTAGTAGTAGTAGGTGTAGTAGTAGTAGTAGTAGGTGTAGTAGTAGTAGAAGGTGTAGTAGTAGTAATAGTAGTATTAGTAGAAGTAGTTGTAGTAGAAGCAGCAGCAGAAGTAGTAGTAGTAGTAGTTGAAGAAGTAGTAGTAGTAGTTGTAGTAGTAGTGACAACGGTAGTACTAGTTTACTAACTAGTTGATACAGGGACTCCCATATTCCGCGATACAGCTGGTTGTTGTATGGCTGTCAGTGTAAACATAAAGTCACACGAACTAAATACGATTGTGTATAAATCAAAGTCTACGTCCTTTGAGGTAAGAATAGTGGTATAAAATCTAAGAATTGACTTTCGCAAGCTCCGACGTTCATACAGTTTGCTCCTGACTCAATGAAGGTTCATACTCAACTGAACTCACACAAAATGAAAGTAAATTCTTAAATAATTCAGTTACTGCTATAATAATTAAGTGCTTCAATGAACAGTGGGATTGAGTGAGTGCAGCCGTATTGCCATATTGTGATTGTTTCATGCGATTAAAAAAACTAAATATCCGGGCACGGAAGAGAAACATATTAGGTCAAAAGTACCATAAAGCTGGGATGTTTGTAGCCCACGTGAATATATAGACTGGCCTTGCTGGTGATCATGCCAATAGCTTACTGGGCGAGGGAGTGAATGAGTTAACGCCACTTTCAGGTAATTTCATTGCTGTCAGCTTATTGTGGGAGCAAAGGCAAAAGAGAGGTCTTAGACGTTTACCACTTTGGTGAAGCCCACAAGAACGAATATGGCGCTGAGAAATCTAGAACCATAATCAAGGGGCATGTGGGATTACGATCCACGACCATAGGTTTCTGGCACATAAAAGGGCCACAACCCTGCACAGCGAAATGTCCCCCATGACTGCCTACACGGCTGTGGGGTAGCCTATTGGTTAAAGCGTTCGATCGTCACGCCGAAGACCCAGGTTCGATTCCCATCATGGGTACAATGTGTGAAACCCATTTCTGCTGTTCCCCGCCTAGGTTATTGCTGGAATACTGCTAAAAGCGGCGTAAAACCAAACTCACTCACTCCTACACGACGCCTAGGCTAGCACATGTAAGCAAAAGTAACGCCTGTACATTTGACACAGTCTTTATTTATGGTGAATACATACATTTACAAAGTGCAAATAATAATACAAGTTAACATGAACACGTGCATAACATCGTGATAATGTTATTGTTCAACGCTGCAGTCAACAATATTCAATCTATAAGACGGCGGCCTGTACTTAATCCGAGTCACAGACAAACCAGTGGTTGACATTAAAGACAAGAATGAGAAAGAAAATATAACCCCATGTTTGATGGTGGCTGAAAACAAACACGAAATACTTATTGGATAGTGATGTATTTGATACGGGTATCAGTTGTGTTCTGGACCTTAGTTTGCAGTGTTTCGGCGACTGTTTTATTCCAGTAACATTTGAGAACGTTTGTATATAATTTTGGGGTGAAAGTGTATGCTTTTGAAGTTTAGCTTACTGTGCAGATAGATGCAGTCCTGCATCGAGTACTAACTTCAGTGGCTTGGCAGCTGATTCTAAAATAGTTCCCCAATATGGCTATGGACTGGATGGAAATGCTCATATATTTTTCTGTAATATAGCTGACTGACTTCATGAAGAAGTACTCTGTATATCGAAGTAATGTTTCCTGTCCTTCTTTCAAAGTATTGAAACAGATCTAAATTTCCTGTAACAGTAAACACTCATTTAAATAATGGAAATTATTTACAAAAGTAGAGCACCATGTGTCGATGAGCTCAGCCTAGTATTTACAACATTCGGCCGTCATGCATCTTCCCGAGGCCAGGACCCTGGGCTTTTATGGTCAGTTAACTCCCTTGTCTCGGGAAGATGGCCGCATTGCCGCATCCGGGTTCCAGTCCCTACCTGGGTACAATATGTGAAGCCCATTCTCGGTGATAGGACTCTGTGGTAGGGCTGAAACATTGCCAAAAGCAACGCCAATCCCTTGGTCACTACTACAACAATTAGTTTATGTCTACACTTTAGCTTTGTTCCCACTGACAGGCAAAAGAGACTTTACGAGGCAAGAGAGACGAGATAGTTTTTGAAATGATAGTTGTAATTGCCTAATACATAATTTTTATTAACATTAGGAATTACTCAAGGGTAAGTTGATAAAATAATGCTTATGGGTGGAGTAAGTTGTCCGGTATTCGACCAACACAGGCTCTTACGCGGCGGCGAACGGAGTATGTCAGCCATCGAAGGCTTTAAGGTGGACTGCGGCGTCATTCTTCTACTAGTGCTTGCAACATTGTCTTGTCATCACAGGAGCCTGTCTTGCTCTAATTCTACGTCCAAAATGATCCCGCTCATGTACAGTAGGAGACTTGTCAGGGACTGGGGCTGGCCTTGGCAAAATGTTCACATTGTTGGCGTTGAGAAAGTTCATATACACAGCGGAACAAGCCAATTAAATTCGGAATGGTTTACACATTGAAGCGCCCTCTGGGGTTCTGTATTGTCAACGTCCTCCTTCAGCAGCTTAGTGTCACATGTGATTGTCCTGTTGTTCAACACCTGACACATGTTGTGATTGTCCTGTTCAACACCTGACACATGTTGTGATTGTCTTGTTCAACACCTGACATGTGTTATGATTGTCTTGTTGTTCAACACCTGACACATGTTGTGATTGTCCTGTTCAACACCTGACACATGTTGTGATTGTCCTGTTCAACACCTGACACATGTTGTGATTGTCCTGTTCAACACCTGACACATGTTGTGATTGTCCTGTTCAACACCTGACACATGTTGTGATTGTCCTGTTGTTCAACACCTGACACGTGTTGTGATTGTCCTGTTGTTCAACACCTGACACATGTTGTGATTGTCCTGTTCAACACCTGACACATGTTGTGATTGTCCTGTTCAACACCTGACACATGTTGTGATTGTCCTGTTCAACACCTGACACATGTTGTGATTGTCCTGTTCAACACCTGACACATGTTGTGATTGTCCTGTTGTTCAACACCTGACACATGTTGTGATTGTCCTGTTCAACACCTGACAAATGTTGTGAATGTCCTGTTCAACACCTGACACATGTTGTGATTGTCCTGTTCAACACCTGACACATGTTGTGATTGTCTTGTTCAACACCTGACATGTGTTGTGATTGTCCTGTTGTTCAACACCTGACACATGTTGTGATTGTCCTGTTCAACACCTGACACATGTTGTGATTGTCCTGTTGTTCAACACCTGACACGTGTTGTGATTGTCCTATTGTTCAACATCTGACACGTGTTGTGATTGTCCTGTTCAACACCTGACACATGTTGTGATTGTCCTGTTGTTCAACACCTGACACATGTTGTGATTGTCCTGTTCAACACCTGACACATGTTGTGATTGTCCTATTGTGCAACACCTGACACATGTTGTGATTGTCCTGTTGTTCAACACCTGACACATGTTGTGATTGTCCTGTTGTTCAACACCTGACACATGTTGTGATTGTCCTGTTCAACACCTGACACATGTTGTGATTGTCCTGTTGTTCAACACCTGACACATGTTGTGATTGTCCTGTTCAACACCTGACACATGTTGTGATTGTCCTGTTGTTCAACACCTGACACATGTTGTGATTGTCCTGTTGTTCAACACCTGACACATGTTGTGATTGTCCTGTTCAACACCTGACACATGTTGTGATTGTCCTGTTGTTCAACACCTGACACATGTTGTGATTGTCCTGTTGTTCAACACCTGACACATGTTGTGATTGTCCTGTTCAACACCTGACACATGTTGTGATTGTCCTGTTGTTCAACACCTGACACATGTTGTGATTGTCCTGTTCAACACCTGACACATGTTGTGATTGTCCTGTTCAACATCTGACACGTGTTGTGATTGCCCTGTTCAACACCTGACACATGTTGTGATTGTCCTGTTGTTCAACATCTGACACGTGTTGTGATTGTCTTGTTGTTCAACACATGACACGTGTTGTGATTGTCCTGTTGTTCAACACCTGACACATGTTGTGATTGTCCTATTGTTCAACATCTGACACGTGTTGTGATTGTCCTATTGTTCAACATCTGACACGTGTTGTGATTGTCCTGTTGTTCAACACCTGACAAATGTTGTGATTGTCCTGTTCAACACCTGACACATGTTGTGATTGTCCTGTTCAACACCTGACACATGTTGTGATTGTCTTGTTCAACACCTGACATGTGTTGTGATTGTCCTGTTGTTCAACACCTGACACATGTTGTGATTGTCCTGTTCAACACCTGACACATGTTGTGATTGTCCTGTTGTTCAACACCTGACACGTGTTGTGATTGTCCTATTGTTCAACATCTGACACGTGTTGTGATTGTCCTGTTGTTCAACACCTGACACATGTTGTGATTGTCCTGTTGTTCAACATCTGACACGTGTTGTGATTGTCTTGTTGTTCAACACATGACACGTGTTGTGATTGTCCTGTTGTTCAACACCTGACACATGTTGTGATTGTCCTGTTCAACACCTGACACATGTTGTGATTGTCCTGTTGCTCAGCACCTGACATGTGTTGTGATTGTCCTGTTGTTCAACACCTGACACATGTTGTGATTGTCCTATTGTTCAACACCTGACACGTGTTGTGACTGTCCTATTGTTCAACACCTGACACATGTTGTGATTGTCCTGTTGTGCAACACCTGACAAATGTTGTGATTGTCTTGTTGTACAACATCCGACACATGTTGTGATTGTCCTATTGTGCAACACCTGACAAATGTTGTGATTGTCCTATTGTACAACATCCGACACATGTTGTGATTGTCCTATTGTTCAGCACCTGACACATGTTGTGATTGTCCTATTGTGCAACACCTGACAAATGTTGTGATTGTCCTATTGTACAACATCCGACACATGTTGTGATTGTCCTATTGTTCAACACCTGACACGTGTTGTGATTGTTCTGTTGCACTGTTACCCATGTCAAATAAATTTCTAAGAAAACATTTACTAAGCTTCAAATGATGCCTCCTGAAGACCCTGAATAAAGCTTCGTTACTGAGGCGTGTCCCGATATTTCCAGCTGATCGGTGACATCAGGACAAGACCTGCACATGATGCTGCTCCTGGCCCCTGGACGATTTGACGATCTTCTATTTCTGCTCATTGTTTATCCAAGAACCGACACTCAACATACACGATACCGAATTCCGTTTCAGATCTGGATGCGGTGCCAATGAAGATGAGACAGAATCAGCATTAACTTCTGAAGAGGTATTTTGAAGATCCCGTCCAGGTGGGGAATTATGAAATACCCGTTCACATAGAGTATTTTGAAGATCTGGAGTATTTTGAAGATCACGTCCATCTGGAGTATTTTGAAGATCTCGTCCATCTAGAGTATTTTGAAGATCACGTCCATCTGGAGTATTTTGAAGGTCTCGTCCATCTGGAGTATTTTGAAGATCACGTCCATCTGGAGTATTTTGAAGATCTCGTCCACAAGGGATGTGCTGAAAACCCCTTCTGTATACGTCCTGATTCAGACAAAGATCTGCAGCGCGAATGTTTACGTCAGTCGAGGAGGATACTGAGTTTACGTTGAAGTCGGCGCGTAGTGGGGGGAAGTGGAAACTGGTCTCCGGGTTTGTATATCCCATGCCTTCGGGGCTGTTCTGGAAGGAGATCTGTACTGCAGGGAGTCGAGACACTAGGAGAAGACATGACGGGACACACAACACATTTATTAGCATGAAAAATACGGATAAAGTCAACAGAGACTTTGAAGAGATATCAGTCCCAAGCACCGCAGTTATGCGAACTATCCAATCCATAAACATGGCGGCAGAGATGACTACACCAGCTTTAGCTCCCCGCTTCATAATCTGCAAGTCTTCACACGAGTGGATGTCCACGCGACCAGGGGTTACAGCATAGCTCAATCGGTGTCGAAACGGCTCCGACGCTATTATATACAGGCTCATTGCCAATACCGCCAGGGCCGGCATGCAGAAGACGAAACCGTCCGATGTCACCAATATTCGCATGTCAGCAATGTCACAGGCGAAGAGGCTAGGGTAGTCGCGGTAGGACGTCGATGCAAACAGCGGTAGACTCGACATGGCAGCTTGAACAAGGAAGGGTGACTTTGGGGTTTAAACATCTATAAAATAATATCTAACGGTAAATAAACATGAGTATTGAATTTTGTCAGCCCTTGTTGCGTCAAGGCTTGGACCAGGTACCAGTTGCCTTTTTCAGAAAACAGAATGTTTTCATGCATAATGAAGTGGGGGTCATTTGGTTTGCTAATTAAGGACATAACCCGGCAATATTTCAGCTACATAACGGTAAATAATAGAGTCTGATCCAGACAGTGGAGTGATGGGTATTTTGAGCAACGATCTACTCCATCGAGGTACGTTGAAACACCCTCCACCAGGTCACCGAGCCAGATTGCCAGTCGCCTTCTACAACCAGCCCAGGATGCAAGGGACCTATTCTATCTCCACTGGGGCCCAATGTCGTCTCGTCTCACGCCTGGCACTGGTTTGCTGGGGACATAGTCTACCCCGGGACCCCACGGGCACGATGAAAGACTTCCACATCCTGTTACTGGAAACTAATCCAATATCAAACTCATTAAAATCAGATCTTAGTTCTCGCTACCGCTAAACAAAGAGGACATCCCATTACGGGTCACGGCAGACCGACCTTGCGCGAACTTTGACCGACCAATGGAATGACCAATCAGAAGGCAGCTTTCTCGTGCTTTACGGTTCTAATTTCAATTTGACGACTACGCTTCGAAACATATTTTGACAAATTCTTGATTACAAATTTGAAACCTCAACAAAAGAACGTTCTGGAATGGCTAATAGATGGTCTAGATTGTACGGATACAGTCGTTTAGCCCGTAACTATCGTTCGGTGTTAAAGTTTTCGAGGCTGCATGATCAGAAATCACATTTCGACTGTCACTTTCATAATCTGGTAAGCGATTCTCTGATTGGTCGGATGAAAGGTCGTTCTGACGTGACCTCTAATGGGATGTCCTCAGATTTTTGTTTAGCGGTAGCGAGAACTGAGGTCTGATTTTAATGAGATTGGTCGAATATGGACCAGATTATCCTGCGACTGATATTGTGAGCAACGTCGTGACGTCAGGGTACGAAGACACGCTATCAACCAGGTCACCGAGTCTCACCATCCGATCCAGTTAGTCGCCTCGTACGACTAGCATAGGTTGCTGGGATCTATACTAACCCGGAATGGGGCACTGTGGGGTACGGGCGACTAGGTCGGCGAAGGTGCCGTTATTAGCTATGCAGAGTTGTGTTCCTTAGACGTGACAGGATCCACTGATAGCGGGTTCGAATCCCAGTTTGGTTCTGATCTTTGGTTTGCTCCCACCATACTCATGCTCATGGTGAAGGACTACCACAAGGCTTTCCGGCTTTCCTCCCGCATCAAGCTAACGCGCCATCACATAACTTTAATACTGTTCAAAGCGGCTGCAAACCCAACTCGCTCACGCATATACAGAGAAATGTACTGACCCGCAATGATCCAAGCTATGGTCAAGACTACCTGACATATCTTCACCACGCTCCTCGATGGATGATGCACCATAGTTTGATTCAGGCTGCAATGAATAATAATAATAATAATAATAATAATAATAATGGGAGGGTGTGATTTGATTAACGTTGGGTCTCTTCATGATAGAATTGTTTTTTTGCACACATTTATTTGTCTGATGATCCTCTTGTGAAGCATGTCAAGATTCATGATGAAAACAAGGCATTCCACAGTTTTTGTAAGATATGGGACATAGTCTCAATGTCAGTGTTGATTTTGTTGATGGTTCTGTACTGCTGGACGGTACAGAAATGAGTATCAACCAAGCAAAGTGCCATATCAAATTGGCCCAGACGCAGTTTTTCAAGGAGAGACTATCTGAACGACCACTGCATCGAGTTCATGTTCAGTGTGTTGGGAAGTTCAGCAACCCTGCAGAGTCTTTCGCTTGGAGGAGATCGGCTGGCCTGGAAAGTGAAACAGAAGGCCACTCGAAACCGTCAATGTGTGATTTTGCACGAGTGGATAAACGGACATACGGATAATGGGGGATTATCCCTTGTCTAGCTGAAGACACCCTTTATGGTACCCAAACAGGATGTTAGTCTTAAAAAGCTCATTAATACAGACATTAATTGTTATTTTAATTATTCACAATGAGAAGATCAAAGGTCGTTTCACATACTCAGCAAGACAGCAATGTATGTAATGTTATATTTGTGTGATTAACAGATATAGCAACACTCTCAGATTGACCGCTTCCTGATTTAAGTCAGCCAGTATTATTAGCCAAAGAAAACATTTGTCATTCATCGCTGCACTGTTGTGCCGGTAGCTTTAGGCCTCGCTCCAAAATAATACTTTCACTTGGATATTTAAATACTTTCTACGAATAATATGATATTTTTCTCTTGGAAATTGATTTTATGAATTTTGGACATTTGATATTCGCAACAATCAGTGTTTTTACTTTATTTGACCTTTAATGGCTAGATCTTGGCAGGGTAACAACAAATATCTGTTAACGTCTTTTGTAAGACGAGGCCGGGAATCGAACCCCCGACCTTTCGCTCTTCGGGCAGACGCTCTCTATTAACGGAAGCAGTCTATTACATCAATAAATTGTCACGATTTCACACGTATTCTTAAATACAACGTTTACACCAAGCTGTGCAGATGTATCATACTTTGAAGCAGGGGCCCCTTTAAACAGGCCTTGGAGAACAGACCAATTTAAACAGACCTTGAAGAACAGACTCATTTAAACGGACCTTGAAGAAAAGACCCATTTAAGTGAGTGAGTTGGGTTTAACGCCGCTTTTAACAGTATTCCAGTTATGTCACGGCGTGTCAGCTTAATGTGGGAGGAAAGCCCGAAGTGATGCAGGTGTAAGACGTGTACCACTTCGGTGAAACCAAGAGCACGGGTATGGTGCTGACAAACCTAGAAACATACTCAGGGCGAACCGGGATTCGAACCCTATAATCATAGGTTTCTGGCGTGTCCAAGGGACGCAACTCTGCACAGCGAATTGCGGCGCCGTAGACGACTGGGCCAGACGTGCCCCCTAACAGACCTTGGAGAAGAGACCCCTTTAAACAGACCTTGAAGTAGAGACCCATTTACACAGGCCAAGAAGAAGAGACCCACATAAACAGAACTTGAAGCAGAGACCCATTTAAACAGGCATTAAAGAAGCGACCCATTTAAACAGGCGTTAAAGAAGAGGCTCTACAACTGTTTTTACCTGCTTTCTCATTCAGTCGATATTAAAAATCAAAAACGAAGAAAAAGTATATAATCAGAATGACAATGTGTGCTTTTGTACCGTCGTCGGTAGAGATCGCTTTAACAACAGAAATTATTCTAGAGATTTTTGTATGACTATGGCATTTTTTTCCAACGATGAAATCGTATTTATTATTATTTTTAATTTTAAACATTATTGATCCAACTCGATTTCAGGATGATTTAATAATATCTGTTCAGAGCTAGAAAGAAAAAGCCGAAGATAGTTATTATTTGACAAACCTGTTCATGAAGAACATTGTGAGTGAGAGGTGGGCCGCCACCCTTATCAGGCGTTGCAAAGCACCTTGAAGCGCACATGCAATTGTGTTGTCGAGGGAGCACGTGAACATCGCGAGGAACGTGCAGCTTGTTGTCATGGTTGCCAGGGCGATGAAGGCTCCACACACAATCCTCAGGCTGATCACTGATAAACACATATTAATGATAATTGTGACACTTCGATTGGAATTTGAGTCAAGTTAATAACTACACGTAGATTCACATTTATTACGGAATTACCGATATCTTCAATTGTTTTAAACATATCTTGAATTGACGATATTTTGAACTGAATTGATATCTTGAATATATTTCTCATATGATTATACATAGAATTATATTTAAAAATATCAGAAATGTTTTTGCAATATCAAAAATAATTAAAGATATCTTTAATTCATTTGTGATATCCAAAATACTATTACTGATATCTTAAAATGGTTCTGTGATATCAAAGAAATATTTCGTGATAACTCTAAATGTATACTCAACAACAGAAGTTCCTGTGACACCAATATTTTAGTGTATTTTTCAAAAAAGTAAAGTTTGGTTTTCAATGTTGTAGTACATGTATGGAATCAAGTAAAAAACCGCAACTGCTACAGAAAGCATGCATTCCATGCAAAAGTTTACTTTTATGCAAGCTCCATGCATTTCACTACCCAAGAATGGGTATAAAAACATGTGCGTTAACGGGATTCCATATGCATTGTTTAGCATCGTGCTGACAACAACCATTCAGAAAAAAATTAAAAAATTACGCAATTATTCAACATTACGAAATGCCACGCCTGTCCGAAAATGAGCGTCTGCGAGCCATTGGTATGCTTGAAGCAGGATCGAGTCACATGATGTTGAAAGACAATTTAACGTCCACAGAAACACCATTTGGAGTTCATGGTCCAGGCATTACATTTCAACATGACAACGCCCGGCCTCATATTGCTCGACTTGTTCAGGACTCTCTTCAACAAAACAACGTGAATGTCATCCCCTGGCCGGCTCGCTCCCCTGATCTCTCACCAATCGAGCACATGTGGGATGAGATGGATCCGCGCCTTCGACGTCAACCACGTGTTCCACAGACACTCCAGGAACTTCAAATCATGCTCCAGCAGATATGGACAGATATCCCACAGGACTTTGTGCGACGCCTGGTCCATTCCATGAGACGAAGATGTGTTGCTTGCATCGCAACCAGAGGTGGACACACACGCTATTGATTTGTAAATTGACATTTTGGCATGTTCATGTGTTTTTTTATGAAATCACGCATTTTCTGAAGTCAGTACGGCAAATTAAACCATTTGAACACTTTCAGGAGTCTTTTATCTGTTGGAAACCGAAATTGTTTCAGATTTGGTAAAAAACAACAATTTGCATTAAATCTTATTCAATGTCACAGGAATTTCTGTTGTTCTGTATATTTCAGATATCATTAAACAATTACCATCCAACTGTTCATAATCACAATAGAAATAAAGTTAAGATATCTTCAATTCAATTCAAGATATCTTTAAAACAATTAGATGATATCAGTAATTTCGTTATAAAAGTGAAAACGGCTTGCCATGTGGCCGCTTTGAAGTGTATCGTTAATTTCAACCATCAAATCAAGCCACGGCTTGGTTCATTCGTGACTAAAGCCAGAGTGTGGTCAAACCAATGCGCGGTCAGGTTACATCGCAAAAGCCGCAATATTCCCAATCTCATTTAAAACAGCTCGTAGTTCTCTCTACCGCAAAACATAGACCTGAGGACACACCATTGCAGGTCACGTCAGAACGACCTTTCATCCTGACCAATCAGAGCGACGCTTACCAGATCAGGAAAGTCACAGTCGGAATGTGTTTTCTAATCATGCAACCTCGAATAGGTGAACACAGGGTATTCCTAACACCGTTGTCGGTCTCTACCACTCATTCCGTCACACTCGTCATGCATCTGTCTCTAGCTTAAATGAGATAAACATTAAAGAGACCCATTATAGCCAGTGGAAGTACTGCCATACAATCTCTGCCATCTATAAAACATTCCAGAATGTTCTTTTCATCAGTTTTCAAATTTTGAAACGAGACTTATTTTCAGAACGCAGTCTGGAATTTAATGTGTTATGCCAGTTTGCAACTAGTGCCGTACAGCTCAAGAAAGCTGCTTTCTGATTGGCTAATGTCAACTTATTGTTAGTCATTGGTCAAAGTTCGCGAAGGGTAGTTATGACGTGACCTGTAATGGGATGTCATCAGATCTTTATATAGCGGTAGAACTAATATCCTTTTTTAATGAGATTGCAATATTCCTTGTGCAACATGTGCTGAAGACATTTCCTGTATTCCTTGCTTCAATACTAAGCAACAGCAGGGTTCGCACAAATTCCACGCATGGAGTGGGTTCACTTATACGCATGCAGCCTCCCTGACACTAGACACTGATCGTCCTCGCTATTACGCCGCATATCGATGGGTACAAGCCCATGAAGTATTGACTACCCCGTTATATCGCTGGATTATTGCCTAGCGAAAATTACAAACCACCACCAACAAGTTATATTTTCTTCATGAATATACAACAAGGATCAATGAATCAATCACCAATCACAGGAACGTAAAACTCGGACACTCTCAATCATTATCCTCTCTGCTTTTCGATTTGTACAAATCGTGGGAGATCTGTTCCCTGTGGGGGCGGTCAGGTGGCCTGTTGGTTAAAGCGTCCGCTCGTCACACCGAAGACCCGGGTTCAATTCCCGACATGGGTATAATGTATGAAGCCCATTTCTGGTATCCCCCGCCGTGATATTGCTGGAATATTGCTAAAAGCGGGGTAAATCCGCACTCTGTCGCTCACTCTTACCTGTGTTTTTCGTGATACGCGAGCGACCGGACTTGGCAATAGCTATGATGTTGGCAACCATGCTTACAGCACTGACAAGAATCACTATCGATCCTGAGGTAACTCGCCCATTTGGACAATTGGAAATCTGGAATGAGAATTTTCAATCAAAACGCACCCACAATTATGTTTAATTTTTTTTTTTGAATCGACATCAGTTGCTTTGTAAAAACGGCCCTAAGTGTTTCGTCTGTTACATGACGCTACTCATACACGTGGAGGTGTATATCGTCAGCCAGGGCGCACCTTGGTGGTGTCTCGATTCTGGGATAACGGGTGGGGGTGCAATGGGACCTGGGCGTGGCAGACCAACAAAGACGACGCCCGGACAAGACAGCTTCATTACATTAATTGCACAACGGAATATATTCCAATCTGCTACTGTTATCAATAAAGAATTCCGTAAAATAACAGAAGGGGGAATTTCAACATCTAACCGTAAAATAGGCTCTATGCAACCCTCCTCTGAAAGCAAGGCATAATGTGAAGGGCGTGGCCTAACAGCTTACCATAGGCGGTAAGAGTTGGGTGGTCTAAACAAGGCCTCACCCCATTTGTCAGATACTAGTACCTTAACCTCACAAATGCCACGGTTGGGTTCTCCCATTATCAAATGCTTGTTACCGAAGTGGTGAAATGGATTAATCCCATTCATACCCAATTCGTCAGACACCCCATGAAACATCTTGGAATCTTTTTGTTATTATTAATCATAATTTTCAATGACTAAAAGATGCTATTCTCTCGTTTTTCATGTTGATTCTTCTTCTCATTTTGGATTGTATTTGTTCAAAGTTCATTTTGCACACATTTATTACAATTTGTTTTATCTAAAACAAAACTCTTTAGAAATCTGTACATAAGGTATTCACCTCGGTGTGCCCAGTGGTATTGAGTAAACTATATAATCAAGCTCTATATCAGCAAACTTAAAATAACAAGACTTCAACTTACAGCAGAACTAATTCTGTAAGGAATTTGATGTTGATGTTCTTCAAGTTTTTTTTATAAATCAATATCCTGCCAACTTCCGTGCCGAATAGGTTTTTTTATAAACTTTAATTAAAATCAGTTTAAAAAAATATATTAAAACAAATAAATCTATTAACTCAATTTGAAAGCACGTGTCAATGTTGGCACTCTTGTTAGAATCACCCAATTTTGATGATGAAGTGATGTTGAAAGCGTACCTGAAGTGTACCACAATGTAACAAAGTCAACTTTCTGCAAACCTGCAACGTTGTGACAATTTTAATATCTCTGCCAATATATGAACAAAAACATGTAAATATTTAAAAAATCACTCGTCTCGTGATAAGGCGAGAACTTACAAATGTTGTTGTTTTCATGATCAATTGGTTCATCAGTTAAATCTATACGGGTAGAAAATAAAGGAATATATAATCCTGTTGTGTCTAAATAGATCAATTATTTTATTATTGCTTTAACTTCATGCGTCGTTGTTTACTTGATCTTAATCATACAGAGAGTTTAACGCCGCCTTTCACCCTGTTTCAGTTTATGACGGCGTTTTAAGTCTCTTAAGGTTTATTTGGAATTGCCCATTACCACAACAGGTAAATCTCAACTCTTTTGACAAGGCATCTCTACTCCACTATCTTACAACTGGGGTATCTGACCAATGGGCTATGACCACCAGGCACCTCCAGGGACGGACTTTGGCTCAATGGCTTTACACTATGTTTGCAGACATGGTTATGCATTGATTCACAGATGGCAGAAAACGATTTTGGCGACATAGCGGCGAGCGGTATGCCGGGGCAACAATTCTTGGGCAGGATCGGCATGGGAGCAGTAGTATCATGGTGTATGGCGGTATCACACGTGACAGGCAAACTGATGGTGTTGTTGTAAATAGACACTTGACTTGCCAGCGACGTATTGACAAAACTTTGCGTCCAGTCGTTGTTCAACTAGAATTATCGGCAGAAACTTTGAACTGCAACATGTGAATGCCTGACCACATGGTACCCAGGTCGACACCGTTTATCTCCGACGAGGAGGCATACGGACATTGGACTGGCCTGACTAAGTTCCCCGACATGTCCCCAATAGAGCACCTATGATGTTCTCGGGCGGAGAGTGTAAGCTAGAAACCAAGCACCATCCAACGTGGGACCCGTGATGATCCGGGG